CATTAGCCTTTCATACAGTCAAGCATCATTTTAGTTTTCGGTGAACAGATTGTTCCACTAAATTATTAAAAACCACATTGCCAGATTCAAAGTTTGTTAAGAAAGTTTCAGCCGCTCGGACTAAGACTGAGAGTTGGCTCCTCATTGTTTAGAAATTGTTGTAAAACAGGCAAAAAAATCAAAATATAACTGACGCTAGCAATCATGGAAGCATGAAGATATTCCCTGTTTTAATGTTTTTTTTTATGCAAGGGGAGGATTTGCTTTAAAAATATTAGAAATCAATTAATTGATAGATGAAAATCCGATACAATTTTATTGCAAATTATTTAAACAACATATTAATAGGGACGAAATTACAAAATAAATGCATTGCTTTTTCTGGTGACAACTGTAACACCAATTTTGGTGGACTTAATCGCGCTGGTAAAAAAAATGTTTTTTATAATCTAAACCAGCCTCTTACTTCAAAACTAGTAGGGATAGGGTGTCCTGCTCATGTTCTTCACAACTGGATACAATGTGGAATAGATACATTACCAGTAGATGTTGAATTTATAATTATTTTTCAGCATTTACAATCAGAACTCAATCTTTAAAAACCTTTTGTGGTTTTGTAGACATAGAATATAAAAAATTACTTTGCCACAGTAAAACTAGATGGCTATCTTTGTTTCCTTGTGTAACTGGAGTACTGGAAATATATGAAGGTTTAAAGTCGTATTTTCTTTCCAGCAGATATAAGTTATTTATGGTTTGTCCACTCATTAATGTATATCTTTCACGAGAAAAGAAAGTTTATTGAAAGAGAAGAAAATTCTGTATTAGAGGTAATGGAATGTTTAGAAGACGTTAAAAATAATGTAAAGGGTAGGATATCTGAAACATTTTTGCCAATCAAAGCGAAAGCAATATTAAGACAATGCGAAGATGAGCAGCATGTCAAAAGTCAATTTACAAATAATTACACTGACATTATATCACCTTAACTTATATTATCAAAAAGAAATCGTACGAGGATTCTGCAACTTAGGTAACGTTTGACAACAATTCTGTGTCCTCTACATCAGTGGTTCGCAAACTGGGTGCCGTGAAAATTTTATAATGATTTTAATAAATATAAGCACAAAACCAACTTTAAAAAATAATAATTGATGATCTGATTTTATTAATATGGTACAACTGTTCAGTAATGGACAATGTGTTCTGAACATTTCTTCATACTGAAGTAAGATGGCTACGTAAAGGCCGTGTTCTTTCCCGATTTTGGGAATTAAGAAAACAGATATAAACGTTTTTTGAATCAGAAAATATTGAACAATTTTTTGACCTCCTTCAAGACCACGTTTGGTGTGCAAAACTAGCATATTTAACTAATATTTTTGAACACTTGAATAAAGTATGTAAATTCAAGTAAAGTAATTCAAATATTTTAACCTTCAGTGAAAAAATTTTGTCTTTAAAAAACAAGCTTAAATTATGGAAAACAAATATTTATAATACAATTTTAACATGAATTACATATTATACAATCATATGATAAAGTGTTTTTGATAATAAATGAGTTACAATTAAAACTGTTCTTGGCGGGGTGCCGCCAACTTTTGTTTAATATTTTACAGTGCCATCAATAATAAAAGTTTGCTAACCACTGCTCTACATAAACAAAATTTTAGGTAGTTTTGTCTTAAAGGACAAGCATAAAGGTTTGGGGTAGGACGAAGCAAGTATAATTTACCCAACGTCAAATATTCCTCTCGACAACCTTCCCTATATACTTTGGAATAAAAACTTCAACCTTCAGAAAGAACCACCGCTTGAAATAGCTTACACTAACTTTGCGATAGCAAAAGCTTTGGTTGTGCAAGGATGTGTACGGTTGATCCTCGAAGAAAAGGCATTCATAGTATCTCACATTGTCACCTTATTCCCAAACAGTAAATGCACTTGTAAGTCCAAAACACATTGTCAGCACATAACGGCGGCGCAAATGTCAATAGGAGTGGAGCCACAGAGTTATAAAAAGACAAAATTATCAATTTTAACTCGTAAAGAAAGGGGATATAAATCCGGCAGGAAACGAGCACCCAAAAAAGTTCTTTTCTGGAAGCTGCAGAAGATTCTTTGGTACAGAAAGAAGACGTCGTATCACATAGCAACATACTAGTTCCAACAATAACACACGACAAAAAACCAGGCTGCTAATAAAATTCTACTCTCTACGAAAATCATAGACAAAATTTGAAGTCGGTCGGAATGTGGCAAGAGCCGGTCGGAGCCGATTTATAAAGGGAGATTTTTAGGGGTTGCAAACAAAAATATGACAACTACGTCGTTCGATGACCCTCAGTTTAGAGGTATCATGGATAAAATTTGAAGTCAGTCGGAGTGTGGGAAGATCCGGTCGGATTCATAAAGGGAGATTTTTAGAGGTTGCGAATTAAAATATGACAACTACGTCGTTCAATAACCCTCAGTTTAGAGGTATCATACTTAAAATTTGAAGTCGGTCGGAGTGTGGGAAAAGCCGGTCGGAGGCGATTCGTAAAGGAAGATTTTTAGGGGTTCCAAATAAGTGTGAAAAATACGACGGGATTTTTATGGCCTCAATTTCTGCCATATTTATGTAGGGATCACTTCAAGGTTTTTTATTATTCTGTACTTATTTTGAAATGAATCGGCTGGTAAACCTGTAAATCCTAGGGGGTTGATTTTCGGGAGTGAATATCTTTCATATTTGTATGAGGCTCACAGGAAATTTTCCTGTCATGTTTGTATCAATTTTGGAATTGGTCGGCTGATAAACAACCCCTTAAAATCGTATGGGGTGATTTATGGCGGGGTGATTTTTTTTTATTTTCATGTAAATTGATTTGTAATTGCTGTATTGTATTTGCACGAAATCTGAAGTGGATCGGTTGACAAAAAAACCTCTAGTCGGCAAAATTTAATGGGTCAGTAAATTAGAAACACCTTAGTAAAACTTTTGAAGAGAGTGTCCATAATTATGAAGTGGCAACTTCAAATGTAGAGCATGAAAATTATTTAAAGTACTTAGAAGAATACTGGTAAAAGAAGGAGTTGTGGGTCTTGTGTGATAGAAATTAACTTTTGACAAGAGGAAATCACACCAACAATATATCTCAGGCAGCAATGAGAATTGTATTTCACACCTTCTTTCCGTAATCACTCATAGGCAGCCATGCATACGCAGCTGCGAGCCCGCTAATTTAAAGTAACTGTAAAATTACGCCGTTACCCATCATCCCACCTGTGCAAAGACGCGCTCATTATGTTTCGTTGCGCGAGCCCGTCAGCACGGTTTGTATAACCTCACTCTTTACTTCTTGCTACAGGTAAGTGTTTATCCCAGTTTTTTTAGTCAAATGGGTAAAACTAAGCATCGTCGACGTTCGCGTTCACCTCACGTACCCAGACGTGAGTTGGAACGTCGCCTAGCACGCCTTGAAACGCTCCTAACCTCAAAGCGCCATGTGGTGCAACCTGTTCGTCCATCTAGTAGTCGACATATACCGTGTGTTGAACGTTCCCCGTCCCGCAGCACTTCAGGTTCGGGCCGACAACATGAGAGAGCTGACCACATGCGCCTTGCTCGGAGCTCCTCCCGATCGCGATCGGGAGAGCCGAGGGCCACAGCCCTTCCAAGTGCGTGCTCATCGTCGAGGTCTCGCGCCTCTGACGTCTTATACCGTGACAGGGTTACAACGTCCCGGGACAGGGTCCCAGCTTACCAAATTGGTCAAAGCATCTCTTCCATGGGGAATCAAAATTCCCGCAGTCTCACCCCGGACACCAAACCGGCGCCTGACAAACCACCAGACTCTCCTCCTTTACTCATTCACGACGAGGAATTACCCGAAGAATTCCTTCTCAAGCTTGGAGTAGAGCCCACAAATACTGTCGCTAATGAGCCAGTTATTTCGCAGCGCCTGCTGACCGCCTGGACGGAGGTTCTCGCCAAAGGTTTAAAAAAGGACGAACGTACCAAGCTGCTTGAGAAGTACCCCCCGCCTAAAGACCAAGACGCCTTCACCGGTCCAGAGTTGAATGGTGAAATATCGTCTATTTTGAATTCCACTGATAAAGCTCGTGATTTCCAATTAAAAACCAAACAAGACAGCTTGCTGTCCAGTCTCACCGCCCACTCTGAACTTTTAAAAGCTCTATGGAAGTGTATCGGTCTCTCCAGTGAGAATAGGGCTTCACTTGGGGTTTTAGTAATTGACTCGGCCAAACTCGTCATGGACGTATTTCGCACCTTAAGCCTTACGAGACGAGACCTTATCCTCCCACATTTATCTGCTACTGTAAGAGACGTCGTCAGTCAAATTCCCCCAGGGCGATATTTGTTTGGCGCAAACATTTCTGAGGAATTTAAGAAGAGGAAGAGTTTGGAATCCCTTGGCAGGGAAATGCGAGCGACTCAAAGAGCCGTTCCGTATCCGGCAAAAAATCCCAGCAGCACTATTCGCCCAGCTTCAGGTCCTGCCTCATGAGTGAGTCTCTCTGTCAACGCAGGCCGCAACCAGTTTTCCAAAAAACCGGAGGGGCCCGTCTCACCAGGGGGGGGGGGGGGGGGAGAGAAACGGGCAACACCTAAGGACAACAACCTACCGCTATCGCCGGCCTTAAGTCAGGTGAATAAACGACCAGCCGGTAGGCTGAAATATTTTTGTACCAGCTTGGCGACAAATAATAACCAATGATCCAGTTATCTTTAACTGGCTCAGAGGCTATCCCTTACCTTTTAGTAGACCTCCGGTTCAACGGCTGTCGCAAAGCCGTTTTCACCTGGCGTTTTCACCACAATGCAGTCGGAAGTCAAATCCCTGCTTCAACAGGGTGCAATTGTTCAATGTGAACCTTGTGTAGACCAGTTTATTTCTCACGTTTTTTTGGTCAGTAAACCGAACGGTAAAAACAGGTTCATTTTAAACCTAAAAAATCTAAATTTTTTCATTGACACTCCCCATTTCAAAATGGAAGACATTCGTACAGCAATTAGACTCATACAACGGCACTGCTATATGGCGACAGTGGACCTCCGTGACGCATATTTTGCTCTACCTATTCAACCTTCGGATAGAAAATATTTGCGTTTCTTTTTAAACGATGTATACTACGAGTTTACTTGTCTTCCCTTTGGCCTCAGATCTGCTCCGGTAACTTTTACCAAGTTGATAAAACCGATAGCGGCTTATCTTAGATCACAAAATATTACATGCGTTTTATACCTTGACGATTTCTTACTTCTTGCCAGCACCATCGACGAATGCCGCACGAGTGTTAACTTCACAGTGCATTTGCTTGAGTCTTTGAGTTTTACGATTAACACTGAAAAAAGCATCTTAGAACCCTCACAGAGTTGCCGATTTTTGGGATTTATTCTCGACAGCGCGCACATGCGTCTACGACTCCCGCCGGACAAAACTAATTACATTTTATATTTAATATCCACTCTGGAGAATAGGACAAGTTGCAGCATTAAAAAGTTTGCAAAACTTATTGGTAGGTACGTTAATTTCAATCTGCCCCGCACTAAAATACGGCTTCCTTTATACGAAACTGTTTGAAAGGGAGAAATATTTGGTCTTAACCAATTCAGGTGGTAATTTCAAAGCCAGGATAGGGTTAACTCCGGAAATCAAACAAGATTTACATTGGTGGAAGCATCATCTAGTTTCAGACATCGGCAATGAAATTGGGTCTGATCACTTTACAATGGAAATATTTTCTGACGCCTCGCTTTCTGGATGGGGAATTTACTGTCAGGGACATACGGCTCGTGGGTTGTGGAACCCAGAGGAGCAAAGAGAACACATTAATTACCTCGAGCTGAAAGCAGTCCTTTACGGTCTTAAATGTTTTGCAAAGCACCTCCTCCATTCTAAAGTTTTACTTAGGATTGACAATACGACAGCAATATCGTATATTAATCGCATGGGTAGCGTTCAGTATCCACATCTTTCCACTTTGACACGACAAATATGGCAGTGGTGTGAAGCACGGGATATTTGGCTTGTCGCTTCATACATTAATTCCACAGCTAACATAGAAGCTGACAGGGAATCAAGGGCACATTCCGATGCTACAGAGTGGGAACTATCAGACCGCTACTTCAATCAAATCTTGGAAAAATTTCGTAAACCGTCCGTAGACCTGTTCGCCTCAAAAAATAACCATAAATGTGCGCGATATGTATCCTGGTTTCCCGACCCGGGTTAGATCGCTGTCGATGCTTTTACCTTCTCGTGGAAGGATTCTTTTTTTTATGCCTTTCCACCTTTTTCCTTAATCTTACGATGCCTTAAGAAAGTTGTCGCAGACGAGGCCAAGGGTATACTAGTAGTTCCAGACTGGCCAAGTCAGCCCTGGTATCCTCTCTTTAACAAACTCTTAACGACAACTCCGTTGAAATTAGGGCCAGATATCAACTTATTGTCCTCTCCTTTCAGAGCTACGCACCCACTATCAGCAACCCTCGCTTTGATGGCAGGAAGTTTGTCCGGGAAGCTTTCTTACGGAGGGGAATCCCAGAGGCGGTAATTGTAACAATGCTCCAGTCCATTAGCCGCTCTACTCTACGACAGTACTACTCCACATATAAGAGTTGGAATACATATTGTGTTGAGCAGCAGGTGGATCCCTTTTCTCCTACTTCCGCGGAAATTTTGGGATTTCTTCAACACTTAATAGACTCTACAGACGCTTTGTACGGTACCTTTGACTCTCACCGTTCGGCACTGGCCTTTATTCTGCCTGGTGATCTTGGTACCGATAAGGCACTCAAACGTTTCTTGAAGGGAATTTCCCACCTCCGACCGGCAAGGCCAAAATACACTACAACGTGGGATCCTTCAGTTGTAGTTGACTACTTGAAAAACTCGTCCTCTAACGCGGTGCTTTCGTTAGAACAACTTTCGTCTAAATTAGCCTTATTGGCTCTCGTAACTGCCTATAGAGTCCAAACACTATCATTAATTCGCCTCTCCAGTATAAAATTTGATCCCTCAAGAGTTCAAATTAACATAACAGATCCTATTAAAACCAGCATCCGTACGGGAATATATCCATCCTTTACATTTCAATACTTCACCGAGGACCCAGCCCTGTGCGTAGTAAGTACTCTTCAAGAATATGTACGTTTAACTGACAATATAAGAAAAGGCGAAGACTTCTTGTTTCTTTCTACTCGGAAACCCCACGGACATGCCTCGTCTACCACTATCGCAAGATGGATTCGAACTACCTTGCAAAAAGCAGGAATTGATACTCAAATCTACGGGGCCCATTCGACTCGCCATGCGACGACCTCAACTGCGCTGCGTTCAGGCGTCAGCGTGGAGGATATCTAAAAACTTGCTGGCTGCACAGGACGGTCCACAGTTTTTGAAAAATTCTATAATAGACCCCTTTCCACTCAGTTAGCAATCCCCAGAGTACTACTGCGGATAAACTAATTTCTTTTTAAGTTCTGTATGAAATTTTGTTTATTTTCTATTCATTACACAACCACATTATACGCTTCTTTGGTATATGCTCCCGGGTAGGTTCTCTACTGTTCCCAGTACTCAAATACGCATATTCCCTCTGCCACTTTCGGCAACTGCCAACATTTTGGCTCTGGACTGACAACAATTTCTGCTTTAAACAACTGCCTATGAGTGATTACGGAAAGACGGTGTGAAATACAATTGTACACTCAAACTAACAGCTTACCTGTGAAGTTCGACTGAAATTGTATAATCACCTTCTTGAAGTAATCATTCCCACCCACTACCAACCCATCTCCAAAAAAATTGTTGTCAACATTGCTTTAAACATAATGAGCGCGTCTTTGCACAGGTGGGATGATGGGTAACGGCGTAATTTTTACAGTTACTTTAAATTAGCGGGCTCGCAGCTGCGAATGCATGGCTGCCTATGAGTGATTACTTCAAGAAGGTGATTATACAATTTCAATTGAACTTCACAGGTAAGCTGTTAGTTTGATGGTACAATTATTAAGGATAAAACTAGATGATTTTATTTTAACAAAGTTTTTCAATTATTATGAAATTCGGTTGTTGGATGCTGCTACCAATCGCCACCAAAAAGTTTCCCCTATACAGCACTATGAAATTACCTCCACCAGGTTTAATTGAACGACAAATTACAACCTGTATATTGATAATACGGAAAACAATTTACATAATTGCTACAGGAAATAATCCTCCCAACAACTGGTTTTTGCCATTGTATGGTAAAGGGTGTTTTCGCAATTTTCTATAATAAAAAGCAAATTAACAAATAATTTGAACATACACGCAGAAAAATATGAATGCGACCTCAACTACTTTTTGTTAGTTGAATTCTGGTTTGTTCCTGGAGGGCATATTTGGTTATCCAGAAAAATACAATGATTACCGAGAAGTAATTTCATTTGTTAGTACTACGAAGTAAAGTTTGTTAATATATTTCTTTAAACAACTAACAGATTATTCATCCACAACAAAGCCATTGGTTACCCCAACATATTTTTATTATGGTAATTTGAAATAAGACGTTTCAGTGAAGTAACAAAAAATTTTTAGTTGCGGCAAGAAACAATATTTTTTAGACCAACAAAATGTGGTGGCGCCGGTTTCATTAAGCCAATCACGAAGAGCATGACCAAATATGGTAACAACACGTGATGGTAGAGGTGAAAAACTTCCAGAATGCAATATTGCACAATCGGAACTTCACTTGTTGCAACGTGCATTTCGTTCCGTGTAGTGATGTAAATGTGGAAAAATCTGTAAGCTTTAACATGTGTGAGATAGTTTCTAGTTTGTTAAACGAATGGGGATTCCCAGAACTTGTAACAAAATTTGAAGGTAAGTGTAACTGTGTGTTAATTTAGAGTGAGATATGTAAACTATAACTACAACGTGTAACAAATATACTAATTAAAAAACTGTCAGCAAGTATAGATATTATGTATGTATGTATAACACAATGTTTCAAATATTCTTCTACACGACAATCAACTGAATTTTTTACTTTACATCTATTAAATGTTAGGATGGGGTGAAATAATAATAATAAAATAACGTATACTTTCTTGTGTGTGATAGAGAACCAAATAGATCTTGAGGCATTTCAAAACTTGACAAATGACACCATTAAGGAACTCATTCCTCTTGTGGGACACCGCATAAAATTTAAAACAAAATATGATATCTACAAAGCTCCCATTCATTTAGGCACGGAATCTGATGATTCGTGTTCTGCAGCATCTTTGATCTCTCGAACCAATTCTGAATTAGCAGACGAATCATGTAAGCATTCACTTAGACGTTAATTAATTTGGAACTAAATATATGTAATATACAGGGTGGTCCACGACTAATAAAGAGCCTGAATAAATTTGAAACGCAACCCAAAATACATTTTCACTACTTGGATATTATTATAATTACAATTGGAGCATTAAGCATAGTAACCTTAACACTTGTCAAAAGTTTTGTCAAAACAAATTGAAAAATAAAAACACGTGTGTAATATTATTAGATCAGCTCCGAACAGAACTAATCCGAAGTCCGGTGGTTTTTGCGCAAAACTTAATAGTTGTCTTCAGTGTCTTATCAAAATAAAATGTGTTTTTATTTTTATCTTTCAATTTGAAGTTTTTGTCAAAACTTTTGACAAGTATAAAGGTTACTATGTTTAATGCTCCAACTGTAATTATAATAATATCCAAGATAGTAGTGAAAATGTATTTTGGGTGGCGTTATTTATTCAGGCTCTTTCTTACTCGTGGACCACCCTGTATAAATAGTTTTAATTATCTATTATATTGTAGATTCGGTATATTTTGGAGACGCTGACTTGGGGATGACAGAAGTCGAAAGACAGAACACCCCAGCAGCCAGACATAAGCGTAAGATATTCACTGAATGTGCGAAAAAAGTCGGATTCAAAGAAATCTTACAAAGTAGACAGGAGGGGAAAATAATCCTCAACCATTATGAAAACCAGTCGTCATTAACGGAAAATTTACGTGACAAATGTGTGAATATAATTTTGGAAAAAGAATTAGAAGGTGACGTGAATCGCAGGTTTGATTAGTTTTTCTTTTATTATTTTTTGTCAATTAAGTTAATTGTTCATTATTTTAAACAATATTTTTCTGATATTCTTTTTAGAATACCAACAAAAATTTGAAACCTTGACAAATGCCATAGTTGGTGTTTTTCCAACTGAAGTAAAGGTAAACTAGATATTAAACAATGACAACGATGTTTGATATTTTGCTTTCTTTAGGCCAAATATTTCTCTTACACATATAGAGCTGCTGTTGGTGAAAAATGTCGAAAAGCGGGCAGTGGAAAATTATTTCGAAAATTCTACAATATACGTAGAACTATGCGACAAGCTGGGTTATTCGATTTAACATCAAGCAGTGAAGGTCCCAGTTGTACCGGAGAAGCAACAGATAGTAACTTGATGGATAAGTACTTCTTAAATTACATGAAATATTGAAATCTACTTTTTAGAATATAAAATGATAACGAAAATATTTTATGGCAGAAAAATTGCACATCACCATGGCCGGAAGTGATTGAGAGATGGGATAACAGTTTCACCCAAAGAAAAATATTCATACAAACTGATGCACATACAATATTAGAATATATGAACACATTCCCTGTTCTAAAATTTCAAATGGGGTTTACCTTGGTACTAAATTATCCAAACATTCCTTATTTGTTGCGAAATTATATTTAATTCATAGATGGAGAACGATTTTTTAAAACTTTATCCTAACAAGGATAAAATGTTTTCTAATTTTCCAATATTTGGGGAGAAAATCATTAAATATGCAAAAACCGTTGGTGGAAAAGCAATTCTGGAGTTTTTAAATAAATTTGAAGGTGCAAGTGAAGCTGCTAATAATGGTAAATAGCAGTACAATTTCTTAAGATAGTCATCTATATTAAGTGATTTTTGTAGATATTTACAACACTTATGTGTTATTTTTATTACCACATTTATTTAAGCCAGTCTTGATAAAAAAATGTAAAGGATCAGGTTCCTGGAAGCCAACAAGGGTTGAGATGTCTGAAGGATTTATACTCCATGTTAAGGTATACTGATATTATATACCAACATCGAAAACCAGTAGTTTTATCAATATGGATTTATAATTTTTGTTGTAACAAACACAGATACTCTCTTTTTTTCAATTTCTACTAAGTTTTTGATTTGTTTGAAACATTTTATTCCTTAGTGAATTTATTCTTGAGAAACTATTTACTGTTCAAGTCAGTGTGAGTTTCCCTGAGATTTAATTCCACTCACAAAAATTTCGCTATAAACTAAACATATAATTTCCGCAAAATAAAAGGTAGTCCAGTAATGATTGATAACTTATTTGTTCTATTTGTGTTTAATCTTTTGAATATTTTTTTTTCTTCCACAAATTCCTGGTGAAATAAAACCAGCCTTGGAAAGAAAACGCGAAAAACTACAAAATTTTGGTTTGACTCTCCAACCACTTCCCATAATTGTTGGAGACAGTC